ATAATAAATTATGATTTAGTATAAAATTTATTAAATTTATTCTGATTTTTTATATTAAATGTAGAATATGGTTTATTATAAAATTTAATAAACATTTTCTGATTTTAATAAATATTTGAAGAAAATACTAGCTAGTTAATATTTTATGTTTTATATTATAAAGTAATTAATTTATTCTTGTTTTTATATTTTGTTAATTCTTTTTATAAATATTTTATTTGAAATATTAATGGAATAATCTATATTAGTATACTGTATTATATTAATATAATATACTAATATATTATATTTTTAATGTACATTAGTCGACATAATAGGAAAAAGTGTATCTTTTTTAGTTATTTGGACCGATTTGGTCGACATTTCCGAAATATAGGAAATGTCGACCGACATAATGTAATTTTTATATTACCATCCATTTTCATGTCAGTGAGCCTCGACATCGACATATGTCGGGCGACATTAGCGACATTTGGTGACATTTGAAACCATGGGTAGCTCAAAAGTTTTCTTGGATGTCAACTTTTTTTGTTTTTTTTGGATCAGTAAGCATGAATTTTATTTAACTTTTAGATTAGAAATAGTTTATACAACTTAGTGATGGGAATGATGATCCCATTTGAACCCTCTTTTCTGTCCCTCATTACAGTGCAGCCCAAAATAGTTGCTGTCTCAATGCCCCTTGTTTTGCTAGATAATCAACTAACCCGTTTGCACTCCTTTGGGCCCATTTGAATTCAGCCTCAACCTCCTTTGCAATCTTTTCCACTTCCTTAATCACATGTTTAAACGTCCATGGAGTATGACCACTATTTGTAGCCTAGGAAATGACTACTTTTGAGTCCCCTTCCATTTCAATATGCATGTATCCTATCTGTTTAGCTAGCTTCAAACCTTGTAGTAATGCCAAGAGTTCAGCCTTCAACGAATTCCCTGTTTCAATCGGTCTTGAGAACATGACCAATATCCTCCTCTCAGATTTTTTGAGTACTCCTATGCCTAATAGTCTCGGGTTTCCAATGGAGCTCCCGTCAAAGTTCACTTTCACTTTATTACCTTCTGGTGGTTTCCACTCAAGTCTTGTCTCTCACTCTTGATGACTGTGCTACTTCAGACCAATTTCTTAGAATGTCTATGATTGAGAAGACTTGAAAGCTTTCTAAGGTTTTCACCCAATGAGCTACTTTCACCTTGATGCTATCAATCACTTCCTTTACTGTTCTGATTTTTTCCAGGAATATCCTGTTATTCCATTCTTCCCACACCACCCAGCATATTGCTGCCTTTGTTGCTTTCCACATTGCCATTCCCTCTTTTCTTTCATTGTCTTAAGAAGTCACAGTTAAAGAGTCTTGCCATGTCTTGAGGGGGAACCCACCTGCAACCAAAGAGAATACAGAAGAAATCCCAAATTCAAAGCACAAAAGAACAGGATATCATTAAGTGAGGTAGAGTCTCATCACTTTCCTTACGTAGAGCACACATGAGGAGAAAGGCACATGTAAGGCCTGTTTCTCTGCAGCACACAAGTGTTTACCTTGCCAAGAAATAATTCCCAACAGAAGGCTTGAATCTTTGAGGGGATAGGCTTGCACCAGATTTCTTTCATGGGGAAATCCCTAGCTAGAGGGTGGGGGGAAGCAATTACTCTAAAGAAAGAAGAGCAAGAGAAGAGGCCATCTGAAGAACCTACCCAAATTCTAGAGTCTTTCAGTGACGAGTCCAAGTGAATTTGCCCCAAGAGGTCCAGTAACCGGATTAGAGATTCACACTCATTTTCCCTTAGTCCTCTTCTTAAGCCCAAGTTCCAATTCATGTTGTTTGGACACGGTGTTCCCAAAATGGATACAACTTCCCCCTTGAGGTTTGAAAGTGCAAAGAGATCAGGAAAGTGGTCTTTAAGTGGGGTTTCCCCTACCCAAAGGTCTTCTCAAAAACGAACTTTATTACCTTGTCCCACATCAAAGTGGATAGAATTGAGGAAAGTAGGGTAGATTTCGTGGATAGCTTTCCAAGGAGAAGCTGAAGTATTATGAGGGGCAAGTTTTGCATCTCAACCATTTCCATCGACCCCACGAATGCTCTCAAATCACTCTATGCCACAACGGATGGGACGCTGGAATCAGAGCTAGGATCACAAGCAATTCTCCTTGGAAAGCCATTCATGACCTGCTACCTTTTTTCATTCCTAATATCAGGTATGACTT